ATATATATATATATATATATATATATACCCAGGTTGTATGAATGGTGACGTATTGTGGACATTGCTTAACCAACCAACCGAACTTATGCATTCCGAGTTCACGACTTTGTGAACAAAGGACAAGTCACAGGCAATTGCCTGTGGAAATCCCGGGACTGAGAACTCAGACGTATTGTGGACATTGCTTACTGTACCAACCGAACTTATGCATTCCGAGTTCACGACTTTGTGAACAAAGGACAAGTCACAGGCAATTGCCTGTGGAAATCCCGGGAAGCGCTGAGAACTCGCACAATTATAGCAATACCCCGAACAAAGGATACAAGAACGAAGATTTTATACTTTCCTTGGGAAGAGAACGCTTAATCAACGAGGAACGTTGTGTCCTCTTCATGGAGTGGCCTTTCCGTTTGTATTTTTAACCGGTACAAAAAGACTTATACAATACAAGTCTCAATAACTACATCTAATGTCAGATCCCGCTTATCCTCACCATATTTTGCGCCTACTTTGATGTGCTTCTTAATTAACTCTTGTGAACCACCCCCTTTAGTACCTCAACATATGGTTTATGATGTCGCTGTGTAGTTTCAACCCTAACGTGGGAGTACACAGTGCGTGATGATTTAGCTAATCTTATGCAACCTGTAAATAAATGGAGACTCATGCCTGCGATGCAAAAGCTGTATATCCGCTCTGTTCTGTTCTCTTTGGTCTACGTTGTCTCACTCTCGGTTGTTCCATTCTACTACTTCTTTGTTTCAGTTGTGCGACGGAGAACAAATCCGCCACACTGGTTTCAGCTCTCTACACTCGTTGCTGGGATCTCCGTTTTCAAGTTAACTGGCTTCAACGCTTGCTTGATCGTCTGTTGTCACACGGCACGCTAACACCTGGAGAAGGAGAACCGGAACATAACAAGGTGAAAAGCTGACTGTTAGTTTTATCGTGAAAGCACCTCCCAAACCATTGCATCTTTACCTTCCATCTGGCCTTACTGTTATTTTAGACCAAGGGCCGAATTATTCATGTGTTCAGACGA